AAAAAAGACTTAAAAAACATTCCAAAAATTCAAAAACAAAAAAAAATTTTTCAAAACTCCCCTTAAGGACCACGTTTTATGTAATGTTATGTAACTTGCTCGAGATATCTCGGGTTTGGGGCTTAAGGGTAAATTAAATTTAATTAATTANTTTGACTGAAAACATTAGATAAGTTTTTTAAAATAGACTGCATTTTAAAGGTATTTGGAGTTTATTAATTGGATAACTGGCTAAATACATCATCATTTTCATGGTCTACAAGATAAAATCTTTAATAATACAGCTTTGATTAAATGTTTCTTCTATTTTTCTTAATAGTAAAAGAATAATAAACAGTAAATGCTCCTTTTGTAATTTGGTTATTGAAGATATTAAGAAACATTTACTTCAGGTGAGCCTTTAGAATAGCTAAAGGAATCTTTTTTTGGGTTATGAATTTAATTTTTATACTTTGCTTGATGATAAAATTAGTTCTATAACTTTGTTCAAAGTATGTAAGGTTTTTCAACATTTGCTACATTTATTACATTATAATAATAATAAACACTAACCTTGTTTAATAATTTTGTATAAACATAAATCCTTATGTATATTTATATAATACGTTATTCAAAATAAGAAGCTAGTTATTGTATTTATGTATATGTTACTTATTTGAGTATTATTATGAGTACTTATTGATTGTTTCTTTTTTATTTTCTTGTAAACATGAAAGTCAAATCGAATTAATAAAGATTATTATTACAGTATTATAATGGGTTTCGTGGATTATACTCGGTTCACACCAGTGGCTATGTACTATGCTGGACCAGAGTCAAGGCATAGTAACCAAAAACAAAAATTAAATAAGTGTGTCAGTGTCTGTATTCAGAAATTTCCTAACAATATGGCATGTATTCAATATAGTGGCCTTCTATAGTGTGATGTATGTATTTCTATTCAATTGTAATGTTCCCAGGCTTTTGTGCAGTGTGTGGGATATGACACCTGTACAGGCGAGAACGACAGGTACAACAAGCACCCTATCCATCCTCCACAGATGCCTTATTTCCTGGGCGAGTTCTGTGTACTTACTAATTTTTTCAGTGCATGTGTTTTGTACATTGTGAGTGTTTGGAATGGCTATGTCTATAATGTATGTGATTTTACTTTGTTTATCAATGAATGTGATGCCTGGTCTATTGTAAATTGTCTTATCTGTGATTATGGCTCTGTCGTAGTACATTTTGTGCATGTTATTTTCCAATACTGTCTGTGGAATATATTTGTAGTATGGTTTGTGGATGTCTAATAATTTGTGTTTGTTTGCAAGCTCTTGGTGTAAATTTGCTACTTGATTATGTGTTTTCTGTAGTTTTAGTATTTATGATGTGATCCTGTATGGCAATCATAAATCCTTCCGTCTCCCAAAAGAGGCATCCTCGATCTAACCAGCTATTTGACGCAGTTTTGTCTACAAAATCCTGGGCCAGGTCATAAGGATGCTTGCCATGAAGTGTTTTTTAAGCCCACGATTGCTTAATGATGTCTATGCTTTTTATATGTTGTGTCCTGTCCGTATGATGTGAGTGTAAGTTTAGTGGTGTGTTATTTGAGTCTGCTAGAGTTACTGGTTTATGTAACTGTGATGTTTCTTGTTTCTTGTAGAAAAACTCTCGTAATGACTGTATTTGTTGTAGTGAAGGTTAACTATGTCAATCAGGCCACGTCCGCCATCTTTACGTGGAAGGGTTAATCTTTCTGTGGCAGATTTAGGATGATGTTGTTTGTGCATAGTAAGTGTTGTTCTTGTTTTCCTTTGGAGTTGTTCAAGTTCTGTGTGAGTCCAATGTATAACTACAAAAGAGTATATGAGTACTGGGACGACATATGTGTTTATTGCTTTAACTATGTTCTGAGGATAGCATTTAACCTACTTTGGTATTCTTTAATTAATCTTTGCTTTATTTGTGTATGTTCTATTAGTTTGGCCTGTTGGAATCCTAAATACTTGTAGAACTCGCCCTCTTCCATGGATTCAATAATGTCTCCATTTCCAAGTGCAAAATCTTCTTTCTTCAGGACTCCTTTTTCTATGTGAAGTGTTTTGCATTTGTCTAAGCCAAACTCCATTCGTATGTCCTTAGTGTGTGAATGTGTGATTTGTAGGAGTTGATGAAGTTGTTTTTGTGTGGATTCATAAAGTTTTAAGTTGTGCATGTACATGAGATGTAACAGCATAAACTGTGTTGTTTTTTCATGTCTAATATTGTAGCCATTTTACGTGTTGTTTAACATGTTGGATAATGGGTTCAGGGCTAGGCAGAACCAGAGAGGATTGAAGGAATCTCCTTGAAAAATTCCTCGCCTAATGAATATTTGGTTTGTTTGTATGGAAGTGTTACTAAGATGAGATGTAGTGTTGTTCTCCAGTGCTGGATAGTGTTTTGGAAGAATGCAATGAGTGATGGATGTATCTTGAACATGTGTAGAATATGTAGCAGCCAACTGTGTGGAACACTGTCGAATGCTATTCTGTAGTGTATATATGCCATGTGTATGTTTCTGTGTTGTTTGTGTGCTTGCTGTAGAATGACTGAATCTATGAGTAACTGTTCTTTGCATCTCCTGTGATTTCTATGGCAACCTTTTTGTTGTTCCGTGAGAATGTAATGTTCTTCAACATGTTTGTATATTTTGTTTGTGATACAGGATGTCAATAATTTGTAGTGTTGGGAGACATGTAATTGGTCTGTATTGTAGTATTGTTGTTTTTAGGTTTCCTGCAGGTGATGCCGAGTAAAAAATTTTGGCATGTCTTGTGGATTGATGATGATGTGTGTTAGATGTTTAGCTAGTTCTTAGTGCAGTGATGTAAATTTTTTATACCAGAAATTGTGAATGTTGTCTACACCAGGTGTCTTCCAGTTGTGTGTTCTGTTAACAGCGTAGNCATGTGTAGAATATGTAGCAGCCAACTGTGTGGAACACTGTCGAATGCTATTCTGTAGTGTATATATGCCATGTGTATGTTTCTGTGTTGTTTGTGTGCTTGCTGTAGAATGACTGAATCTATGAGTAACTGTTCTTTGCATCTCCTGTGATTTCTATGGCAACCTTTTTGTTGTTCCGTGAGAATGTAATGTTCTTCAACATGTTTGTATATTTTGTTTGTGATACAGGATGTCAATAATTTGTAGTGTTGGGAGACATGTAATTGGTCTGTATTGTAGTATTGTTGTTTTTAGGTTTCCTGCAGGTGATGCCGAGTAAAAAATTTTGGCATGTCTTGTGGATTGATGATGATGTGTGTTAGATGTTTAGCTAGTTCTTAGTGCAGTGATGTAAATTTTTTATACCAGAAATTGTGAATGTTGTCTACACCAGGTGTCTTCCAGTTGTGTGTTCTGTTAACAGCGTAGAGGATGTCGTGTAAATTTATTTCAGCACAGGGCATAGTTGGTATGTTGTGCAAGTTTCTGTTCTCCTCCTCGATCTAGCCTGCATCAGCATTGTGTGTAACAGCATTGGACCAAAGAGAAGAACAATAAGTTGAGAGTTTTTCTTCTGTTTGTGTGCCACTGTGTTGTGCATCAGTGTTTGTTTTGTACTGATTTGTCTGTAGAAAAGTTTTTCATTGTTTGTGAATAATTTATTTTGTTGTTTTCGTAGTGTGCATGTTTTGTATCGTTTGAGTCTACGTGCTTTTGCTGCGAGTTTGTTTTAGTGTATCGATGTATTCTGTAATGTGTGTTGTGATGTTCATGTTTTGTGTGTGTTTTGAGTTTGTTGGAAATGTTTTTGAGTTGTTTCTTTAATTTGAGTGTTATGTTGTTTTTAGTGTATTGTGTCAGCCTGCCTAATTGCTGTCTAATGTCATTTATTTGTGTTTCTATTTGTCTCTGCCAGGCAGGCTCATGATAGAATTGTGTTTTGTATGTGTCTGTCTGCAATTGTATTCTCAGTCCATGGTGTGTCACTACTGTGACTGCCCCAGCATAAACTAATGTATGAATGTCTGAGAGAGTAGAAATTAAATGGATGTAGTGTGGTAGTAAGTGAGTGTTTACATAATTTAGTGTTTTCCCTTTGATGTGTTGATTTTCGGTATTCATGGTCTTTGTGTGGGATCTGTACCTGTATATTTAGTGTTTCCTGAAATATAAGTGAGAGTGTATTAACTAATTCTATGTCTATGTTATCAGTGATGGATGAGGAAGTTCCTGGTAATATCATTAGTGGTAGTTGTTGTATGTGTGCTATTATCAATGCTTGTTGCTGGATTATCCTGACAAGTTATGTGATCTTCATTAATAATGTTAAATGTTTCTGTTTGTTGATGTATTTGATCAGCAACCTGTTGTTTGATAAGTTCGTGTTGTTTGTGGGATAAGGTTGTTATGTATAATTGTTCTTTTTTGATCGACAACCCTTTGTTCGGTGACAGTGAGGTGAGGATGTCGTTGTGTGAATCTATGGTGTAGTTGTTGTCTGTATGATGTCATGTTTGTTTCGAGTTTTGTGATTGTGTAGTAAGTACGGATGATAAACTCGTTCACTTCTGATGTCCATTTCATCTGTTGGCGTGGTTTTCCAGCCTTTGTGGTCTGTGGATGCATTGCCACAGAAACACCAAGGCTAGGTTGATTCCTCACATCTGTTGAGGCATTGCAGTAGCCATGCTTGGGCCGGCGCTGCTTTCGCCACCGGTAACCAAGGGAGACTGGAGCCTATTTTTCGAACGTGAGCCTCTGCCTAACCCACGAACGCGGACCTTGTTAACCCGGGCGACGTCCGAGCCGGTATCAAACTTCGATCTGGTTACTACCATAATGATTATCTCCACAGAATGTGGGTGTGTGGTCACTCTTAGCTTCATTTCTCCCCATAGACCTTACTGGCATGGGTGTCCCTACCTTATTATTATTATTATTATTATTATTATTATTATTATTATTATTATTATTATTATTTATAATTAAAATAAATGTTACACTAAAATATTTTTTATTTATTCAAGAACCTGATAATTTTGATGATGATGGATGTTCTGTCGAAACGACACAAAATGAAAGCCAGTTTGATAATTCAGATTCTGGTCGTAAACGGAGAAGAGAATTTAATAAAAAAGTAATTAGAAACATTTTCTTATTGAATAGAAGTAATTTAGTGAAGTATTTAATTAATTTTTTATCTTAAAGTCAGTTTTTGTAAGTTAAAATTATAAGCATTTTTGATTACAATTAATAGCAATTAAAATTTGTAAATTTTTTAATATAACTTTTAGCAAGCAGTTTATTTTGAATTTTAAATCTTATGTTCATTGTATTGAGCAGGGGAGAAACTTTAATACACAGTTCAGAATGTATTTTGCTTATTATATAATATTTATATGTATTACATGTTAGTCTATAAGCCAATGAAATTATTAAATTGTAAACAAACTAACAGACAAGATGATAGAAATGATGAGATTTTCATTAACATAGAACAACTGCATATGTAAATGAGTAAATGTTTGAATTAATTGATGCATTTTTAACAGTGAGTGAAGTAGAATACTAATGTTTTTGACCCAGTTAATGGGCCATTCTCAGATATGGACAATAGAAAGTGGAATTCCTATATTAAAAGTCAACTGAGTGACAACAATAGGTAGTTCATTCTTATGAGTAAATTGCAAAGGACCTTCAGAAGTTTGAGGATTAGTAGACAGAGCAAAGAGTGTGAAGGTTGAGTGATAATGAAAGCATAATACAAGAAAAAATTAAACAAACAATGTACTATTAATAATATATTTAATTTATCTATTTTAGTTTAATTATAAACTAATCAAATGTCAATTTTACTGTATGGTTTAACATATGCATTGTACCTTTGTTACTTACTCTAAGATTTTTAAAACTCATATTCTGTTATATTATCTTAAGAAAAAATTAACTTACTTGAACACTTATTTTTAGTAGTTTTATGCACTCAAATAAAATGCAAACTAAATGTTGCTATAGAAATACAATGTTCCATATTACATATTTAGTTTTTAAGTTAAAGGGAAAATTAATATACTACAGATAAACTAAAATTCAGTTAAATAATAGATTCAAAGTCTTAAGATTAAAAGTTAAAGATAAACAATAAGATTGATTGCAATTATGTTTTTACTGAAGAGTGAGTTGGTGGTATGATTTTATCTCACAAGGACATCTTTTTACACAAGTAAAAGAAGTAAATACAGTAGAGCATTGTTTATCCGAAAGCTGGTTATCCGAAACATCCATTATCCGAAAGCATTCCAGTCGGAAAATTTAAATTTTTGCTAGTGCTGTGGCGCTGCAATCTTCGGCTATTTCTCGGGCTACTCAAATATTTTATGTTTTTGATACTAAATTAACATCTGAAGTATAATTTTTTATTGTTTTTATATTTTTCAATATATTTATTTTGTTTGTACAAAATAAAAAAATAATTTTTAATGATACAATAGTCTTCGTTAGGCTTAACATCGACAAAAATTCAACGCGAAGCGACACGCAATGGAGAGAAATTTCAACATGGGATAAATTAATATATTTTTTCGTACATGATTCGTTATCCGAAAAATAACTTATCCGAACCACCCCAGTCCCCAATTGATTCGGATAAACAACGCTCTACTGTAAATAAATACAAAACAGTCTTGACTTATTTATTTTATTTATTGTTTTCAAATTTCATGGAGTTCCATTTTCCAAATTGTAGGCAAAGTAACAATATAAGTCTTTAGCTAAAAGGAGTTCTGTAATTAGCTAGGACTCAGCTACCCTTGTCCATTGTTTCAAATGACAAAATTTTGTTTATTTATATATTATTTTGTAATTACATTATTTAATAGTATTATTGGTTTGCAATTTGAAAAAATTGTAGACCTATAAATTCCCACTGTCGCCAGTTTGTCTGTCCTTTCTTAACTTCAAGAACAGTTAGATAGATGAAAATTGAGACCAGATATGGAAAGCTTAGGAGCATGAGGCCCCAATTAACTATATATGAATTTATGGTGCAAACTAGAAGTCAACGTTATTTCAATTAAAAAATTTTTCTCTGAAAGGAGTTAGAGATGATCGGCATGACACTATTGCTAACAGCAAAAGTATGATGTACAGGAGCAAGACAACTAATTTGAGATGGAGAACATATATTTTAAATTAAATAAATTAAAAATTGATTAAAAATTTTTGCCCAGCATTGTGATGATGATATTATATATTAAAAATTTTCCAAAGACAGGTCTTTAGACTTTCTTCCTGGGGTATTCCATTCACCCCAGACCTCCAGTAAGGCAATCCCATAATTTGCTATAGCAACCCTTACTACAGTTGGTTTAGCAATGCCCTTATAATAATTGTATTTATAGCATTTAACCTATTCGATGTTAAAAATTTTTTTTGTTGCCTGTGATGCCATGTTGAATTTTCGTCGATGTTAAGTTTAAAAATTTTTTAAAATAATAATCATGTTTACTGTATCGTAAAAAAATTATCTTTTTATGTTTCACAAACAAAATAAATATATTCAATAATATAGAAACAAAAAAATTATATTTTAAAAGTTCGTTTTAATATAAAAATTGTGATGCATAGCGACATCTAGTATCAAAAATGTTCTGATGTAAACACAAAAATATTCAGGATCACCCACGCAGGTCAATGAGGTCAACACAAATATTTTCGGGAATAATGTAGGACAGGTTAAGATATTCCCCATTACAATTTTCCAATAGATTCATAATTTTGTGCAGTGGTAAATCTTCATTTCTTATTGTTCTAATAATAATTGGTTATTAAATTAAATGGTCAATTTTTACTTCTGGCTTTGATTGTTCATTAATTTAACTTAAAAGTTACATATTCAATCAAAATTGTCTCCACCAACATTTTAATACAATTTTCCCAATGCAATAGAAATGCGTTAATGCTAATTTGATATAAATCATGAGAATGAGAAACCAGAAAGTCATTAAAAGTACTTTTGCATCCAATTCCTTGAAGATTTTCCTTGCCAAAAACTGTCCAAATGTATAAAAAAAAAAAGTGATGATCTGTTGGCAAAAGTTTGGAGAATAAGGTGGATAGGGAAGAATTTCATTTTAATATTTTCATTTTTGTGACAAAGAACTGCAGATCTCCAAATGATGCTTCTTATCTCTCTTACTCAGTTCATGTGGTACCCATTTGTCAAGCTTCTTGATGTTTCTTAACATGTTTAGATGTCAAGAAATGGTTGAATAATGTCCAATTTGTTCAACCTTTCTATGATTTCCCAAACATTCAGGTGATGTTCTGATTCATTGATGTTCTTCGATTCTGATTTTTGAGATTTGTATTCCCAGAATAAAATTTTTTGATCCAATGTCTGGTGGCCTGTTCATTCACAGAACCTTCACCAAAAGTTTTATTGGTATTTTGGTTGCTTTGGCTGCATTGTCTGTGCTTATACTTGTAAAAGAAAATTATTTAATTTCCTTTCTCCATGCCATTAGAAAAATTACTCTTAAACATGTGGAACTCAAAATATAAATGAGATTACATTTTTTAAATTCACATATTATATGTATGCTCTTCCAATCACAAACATACAGTACTGTTCACATGGAAAAAAGTTGAACTACAAGGCCAGAAAGTTAAATTTTAAAAAACAGTCATTTTACTTGCAACCTAATATAATATTTTTTCATTCCAATCAAAATTTGTCAATTGCTTTTTCTGCTAATTTGTATTAATTCTTACTTTAGTAGTATCCAGTGTCATAACTACCATTTGTGCAACCTGTGCTTATTGCACATGGGCCCAAAACAGCAAGGATTACTGAGACACCTAGAGTCATAAATAACCATACATTGTTGGTACTTAGACATAGAGTTTTCACAGAAATCAATCTTTTCAGTAAGAACAAGCACAAAGTTACAGAGGCAAAGGCACTGAAGTCTCATTTGGAGACATTCCATTTCTCTTGGTATAGTATATTCTCAAAACCACTAATTGTGTTTTGAGCAGGAACTAAACAAAGCTGTCAGTGCGATTGTGGTATGTGACTGAAAAAGTTCAGTTTACAGGTGTCCACCAGAAAGATCATTCTTACTATATTTTTCAATCATGAAGATCTAGTATTATTGGATTTCAATTCTGCCAATGTGAAACATCACTACCACTTGTTACTATAAAATTTTGAAATGTTTATAGTTTGTTATCATATAAAAACAACCATGCAAGCTCACAAAAAATGTCGCATCACTGTATGACTTATAACCATACATTACATATTGTGCAAGATATACTACATTAGATTCAATGGGAAGGTTTTTCATGTCCTTTTCACAGCCCAGATCTTTCACCTTGTGATTTTCATCTGTTTGGCCCTATGAAGAAAGTATTGAAAGGATGACACTTTTGTGTCAATGACATATATGTAGCAATTCAGGAAGGTTCCATTCACAAAGCAAATGATTCTTCCTCAACAATATCTTCAAACTAATCAGTCAGTAGGCTAAGTACCTCAGCAAACATTATAATTTCTATTTTAATAAAAAGTAAAATACATCTGGATACGAATCCAATTTTGCTTGCCATGTCCAATCACCAGGAACAACTATTTCCATTGCAGAGACAACCTTTCTTTAGAGACTATGCCTCTGCACATTTTAAACAGTTTTACATATTTGTGCAGAGGCATAGTTTCTAAAGAAAGGTTGTCTCTGCAATGAAAATAGTTGTTTCTGGTGATTGGACATGGCAAGCACAATTGGACTCGTATCCAGATGTATTTTACTTTTTATTAAATTGTAATTCTGCCAGCCCTTTTCTACAAAGTATTATAATTTCTTTTGATTCCATATTATCACTGGGAGTTAAGTAGTCATAAATGGAAATGGAATCACTATAATAGTGTCATAGAAAAAGAAAAAATATTTTTGGGTTACTTTGTCTATTAGTTACTTTTATTACTTTTTTAATTTAAAAAAATGTTCCTTGCTCTATTATTTATAATAATATTGTGAATAATATAAATTCAAAATTTAATAATAATAATAACTCAAAATGTTTAAAAAATTAATTTAATTAAAAAATGTATAAGAAAGATATAAAAATTTAAAGCATCTTTAGATATTTTTAATAAGGATGTTTTATTATTAAATTTCTGCTTTATTTTAAATAATGTAGAATCCAACTTTTATGGAAGGAGTTCCAGGAATTACAGTAATAACTATACAACCAAAATTATCACAAATTCAAAGAAAATGCCAAGAAATGTGTCAATGGAACAGGTAAAGATTAAAGATCATCTGATAATGAATTTGTAAATTATTATTACTGCAAATTTGATTATAAATTCATTCAAAACTAATTTCTAAGTAATGTTCTGAAAATAATTATTTACTGAATTTAATTTTTACTAGATTTAATCAAGAAAAATGTTTTGTATGTGATACAAGAATTAAAAATTCCTTCATTGAATGAAGGAATTTACAAAATTTAAATTTTTTAAAATTTAAAAAGAAATATCTTCCATTATTGAATTTTTTAAAATTTTTAAATATTTCTAAAAATCAAGTATTACAAACAGATCTTTTTAATATATTTATATTTACATAAACAAAAGTTGTAAACAATATATTGTTTAAGTAAAAATGAATATGTTAAATAGTATTAATGTAAGAGCAAAAAGCAGAGTTATTTTTAAAAAAAAGGATCTTTATTGGGCTATAATATAGCTAATGAGTTATTAAGATACTAAGTAATTTGGACTAGAGTAGGCAGTTAAGCTGTCATCATCCTGTATTAAATTTAATAATTAATTATAATTTTATAATTATGCCACTGCCAGAGGGGTATTTTTATATGATCAATTTATGATTGAATGAATGATGAATGATTATGATTTAACTAATTGAGTGTACAGTTTGATTTGAAGCAAGTCAATGATTTACCCTTTTAAATATTTCTATAATTACAATTAATTTGTTTCCGATTATTAAAATATTTATTAAGATGATAATGATACTTGCCTATCTATAGACCAAATTATACACAAAAATAACCCAAAACTTAACAATATTTTAGTATGATTATTTTCTAAAAATTTATTTAAATAGCTATTATGTTCATGTTTATGCAAAAGTAATTTGAAATGTTTTTACAGTTCTGGTTTTCCAGGATCCCAACCAGTTTCAATGGATAATGAAAACTTAAATTTACTTCAGTTGAAGCCTTATAAAGTTAGTTGGAAAGCTGATGGAACAAGGTAAATAAGTACCTTAATTCAACATGTATTTAAAATTAAAAGATGAGACTAAATCAAAATTATCATTCATTCAATAAAGTATTTTTCTGAAACATATCTTTATTTTTTTGTAAGTTTATGAAAATAATTTACCAGAATCATTAGTACAATCAAAATCTAAATTTTACAAATTTTCAAATATGATTTAATTAAGATCTGTCATTTATAAATTAAAATTTTTAAATTATATATATTTTAAAGTAGACAATTATCTCTTGTTATTTTCAAGGTATTTTGTTATCATGAAAATTTTTCTACAAGTATCAATTAGGAATATTGAAAACAAGTTTTAAAAAAGTATAGAACAAGTAAATTATTCAGGATAGTGACTTGATAAATCTAAAAATCTTAGAATTACCATATTTTTATGCATATAAATATAACAGTGTATAACTACACAGAAACATGCTGAAATTGAAAATAAATCCTTTGCATAATTGCCTCACTGTAGATCCTGTATTTCCAAAGCAGCCATTGAAAACATGGTACTTGCTGATATGCAGTTTAAAAGATACCATTACAAACATTAAAACATTGTTTTCTACTACATTTCATTGTAGATATAATTGTAGAAATAAGCAAAGTGAGAAAATGGAATACTGAGAGGGAATCTTTTAAATTTTTTTGTGTAAAATGCCTACCAAACATTTTTAATCATATTTTTTATTTATTTTATCAAATAATAATAATGTGTAATAATGACAATATAATAATAAATGCTTAAAATAAATTCAGAAAAACAATTAACTAGAAAATAATTTTAAAATCCATAATATACAATAGCATGGAGTTGGCAGTTGATCACTGGGCTCTATTTGTTGTAGAGAACTGTATGCTTAGTTCAGATTAGTGCTGAATGTGAGATTCTTGTTTCATATTTGGGTGCTCAAGTACTTGTTTGAAAGATTGCATTTGTACTTGAAAAATCATAAAGTAGCATAATGATTTAAAAAAAGGATTAAATGTCATCTATTTAATGTTTTTAACTGTTATTAATTGAGTGTTCTTACTAATAAATTATCATTTTCAATTTTTGAAAGATTACTTTTGCAAACAGAAATTTTTTAATTGGTTAAAATTTATGATTAGAGGAAGATATTTTTTTTTTTTAATTTCAGAACTATATAAGTCTAAAATAAATAAGACATTTTATTAAAGAAAAATAATTTATTTTATTGTTTCACTGCTATAAAATTATATAATTTTGAAATTTAATTTTTAACTTTCATTGAATTAAATAACATTACATTCATCTATTTTAAAAGAAAAGAAAAAAAATCCAGCAATGAGTTGTATAACTTTCTCAGTGAAAAATATTTATGTTTAAGAAATATTAAGACACATTAGCACAAAGTTAAAATTGTGTATGGTGTCATCTGTTATAAGATGTTATTAAAAAAAAAGTAACTTTTATATTATTAATNCTCTGATTAACTCTTTTAGTGAATACTACAAATTTAATATAGAGTTTGTATACTTTTAACGTAACTATTAACTAAATTTTATTAAAATTTATTAGATGCCACTCCGACAGTTCCCTTGTAAGTCAGACCACACAAGATACAACACATGTCCCCTTTCTATCTCCCCATCCACTTGACCTTTAACCACCAAACTTTAATAGCATCAGTGTCCCTTATATACAACTTGCCATATCAAATTTCTTTCTTAATCTTTATCCACTTCTGAGATGTTAAATGAAATAAATGCCAGAACATACACACACCAGGTACAGTTATTTTTTGTTTACTTTTTTGGTTCAGGGATTTAAAAACATTGATATTTACAAAAACCCAGGAGGATCAAATTTGACATAATTATAATACTTTTCCATGTTATAACAGCTAGGAAAGTAATAGTGATATATAGCAAACAAACTGGTTACTATATTGTGATAAAAATCAAACTTTTTTACCAGTAATAAGAGTTTCATGAACAAGTATTAGGATTGATCATAAAATAAGTAGATTTATTTTTTGTTAGCAACACTGCTGAAGATAGTGTTGGCAAAACTGCATATAAGAAGCTGTGGTACATGTCGAACTATAATCATAGGGCAACACTTCATTACAGATTTTGGTTTGATCCACAGATGACCAAACCAACAAGGACTCCTCCAGAGGTGCCCAATGAGCTGTAATACAGTTTTTGGCAGCAGAAGGCTTAAAGCCAGCCATCATTTTTGGGAGAATGAAGGAGGTTTATGGAGCAGACAGCCTTTCACACACTGCCATTTTCAACTGGTGTAGGAAGTTTGTAGGGGGTTGTTAATCGACAAAGGATAATCCTTGCTCCAGTCAGCCATTAGTGGTGACCAGGAATTTTGGAATTGTTCAAATAGTTGACGACTTCATTCAACAGAATCAACACATATAGTTCTGACCTCAGCCCCTGTAACTGCAGCATGTTTGATCCATTAGAGAAAGGTTTGAAGAAGTGCTGGTTTCAGTTGGACAGCGAGGTGAAGAATGTGGTAGTGAACTGGCTGTTGCAGCAACTTTTTTGAGCGTGGCATCTACTGCCTGATGGAAAAATGTCTTAACTATGGCACTTACTTTGATTAAAGTTGTTTATGTCAATCTGCAATTTTTGTCGTTTACTTACTTTATGATCAACTCTAATACTTTTGATTCTCACAACATCATATTCAGGTGACACAATGATTGAAATCACAATGAAAAGTTTTCATCTTTGTGTAATCTGAAGACAGTCCTACAAGGATTGAAAGTACTTGTTCATTAAACTCTTATTACTAGTAAAAATGTTTGATTTTTATCACAATGTACTAATTTTCAAGTCAGTGAAATATTTTTTTGAGGAGGGAAAATTATATTTAATTGCTTTTGGTTAATTTTTACTCTATAAACACAAGAAGAAAATATATGTAATTAAAGAAAATAATAACAACTTTTACTACCACAAAGTATTTATATAAAATAAAACATAAATCCATTGATTTTCATTTAGTCCAAAAATTTCAAATAAAAATGAAATGCATAATCTATTATTGCATATAATCATATTTTTTATAAACATTAATAAATTGGTTATTTTATTTTTTCTATATTATATGCATTGTGTATATGTGTATATTTATTATTCAAATTATATTTTTTTATGAATTTATATTGAAGCATATTTTTAATCTTGCTTCTTAATAATAATAATAATAATAATAATAATCAAATCTTACAGGTACATGATGTTGATTGATGGAAAAAATCAAGTATTTTTTATAGATCGTGATAATGCAGTTTTTCAAGTGTCTGGGTTGTATTTTCCCCAAAGAAAAAATCCTGATAATCATATTCTCAATACACTTCTTGATGGGGTAAGTACTAAAATTTTTTTTCCACTCACTTTCCTTTTTATCTTCTATTTTTTCAAACCTGACAAAAGAACTGACAAATAGGTTCAAAAAAAGTAGAAAATTATAAATTGTTAAGTTTATAATAAAAGCTTTTTATTTATTTTAATATAAGTTTATAATAATAAATTATTTTTAAATTAGTTGCATGAAGCAATATCATAAAAATATTATCTTTTGTTTTCAAATAGTTATTGAATGTTACTTTTGTTTTTAAAGTTATATGATGTCTAAGGTTGCATGTTTTTTTTTTTTTTTTTTTTACTTTTGAGAAAAAATTTATACATTTATAAGACATATCTTTACAATAAAACACCTTCCACAGTTCAGCATTATGAAAAATTATAGGTTTTTTTGATTAGTAATTGCATTTTCACTACAAGATCATGTCAGGAGATACTTATGATGAAACTTTGGTTCATTAGAATCAGTTTTTATTAACAGAAATAAGTTTTTAATGGAGAGAGAAAGAGAGAGGAAAATATAAAAACTGTTTATACTCACAAACTAAATCATAAGTATCTATTTGATTAATTTGCAGAAGTTTTTTTTCTTAAGTTACTAGTTATTAAATGTAAAAATTTAGAAAGCTGTTCAACCAATAGGAATTTTCAATTTGGTTTTATGAATTTTTATTAATGAAAGTTTGCAGGGGGTGGAACAGTAGAACTAACATCTGGAGTATGGAGTTCATCTTTTTTTCTAGCTTCTACTTTTTACATGATGATAGTTTATTTTGTAAAGTTAATTGAGAATTGAAAAAAATAAATAACCAAGAGACTCTCAAGAGTCATTTTTACAAACTTACAATGAAATGAGATGTTTTGATTACACAACTTGATTTGCTTCTCTTTCTCATTTGACAGCTGGCTAAAACTCTGATTGCAAGATTAAAACATATTGTATACTGCATAAATATGTAAACTAACTATTGTTTTAATGATTTTTTTTAAAATATGCTAGTAATAAGAAATTCTCTGAATAATTTAAGAACTAGCACTACCTCCATTCTATTATTATATAAATGTTATAGCTATAAATCAGTATTTGTTATGTAATCAACTGGTAAACAATTAATTGTTCAAACTGCTTCTCCTAAATTTTATAATTTTTTTTTATTTCAACTATATATTATAGAAATTAATGCCAACCAGTTGCCAGATTACATCATTTTATAATAATGCTAATAATTATTTGACATGTAACTCTGCAGTTGTTTGGCATTAATCTAAAAATCAGGCTATTGGATGTTTATATTTATATTACAAGAATTAATGACAATATTCTTAATACATTTATTCAAATAAACAAAGAATACAAATAACACTTTTATAAAAAGAAACAGAAAATAAGATAGATAGTTTTCATCAATAGAAAAGTTATATTTTTCTAAAAGAATCAAAATTAAATTAAAATCCAATCTTCTGTATTTCTTTATCTTTTACTCTGTTTTCATTAACTGATGTGAGGTTTAACTAAACATTGAGCTTGATGATGCAACTGGATTGTTAGAGAACCATGATGAGAAATTGGAATATTTGCCTACACAATTAGTTCAGAAATAGCAACAACAAAACCAAGAGTCTGTTTTGTAGTCTGTAGAAATCCATGACTTGCATGAAAGTTTGGTTGCAATTGAAAGATAATTGCAAAAGCAACATTGATCTTGTGAATAGTTTATTAAAAGAGAAGTGAACACAGTTTTGCAATTTTACATCAAGTTCAGTAAGACAGGAATATCAACTAAGATAGTCAATTCTCCTTTTCATATTTTAAAATAAATCTGAAGACCTTCCAAATAATTCAAGGATAATAGTGAACCAGTTACTCCTATCTTTCGGGGGGGCGTGTCTAGCCTGCGGAGGTGTTGGTGACTTTTTTGCTGAGCTGTTGTGGCGACGTTAGACATGGAATTTTTACAACAAAATAATAAGTTTAGAACTGAAATATGTAGTTTAAATGTTTTATTAACTCGAATAATAATTCTAATTCTACTAATGATTGCTGGTATTGAGTTAAATCCCGGACCTTTTCCTCGATCTCCTCCATTACCAAGTCAAGCAGGTATGCAAAAAAGGGGACGAGGAAGACCACGTAGACAGTATACAAGAGATATAGAGGAAAATACTCAGACAAGCGAAATGTCAGGAGAAGAATACTTAATTGAGGAACAATCCAAGAACAATACTGATATCTCAAGGTATGGTACAATAAAAGATTTTTTTGAACCGGAAGAAGATTTACGAACAAAGACTGTTGAACCTGAATACTCACTGAAATCAGTTTATGAATTAATCCAAGACAAATTTGATCGTCTAAACGTCGAAATCCGTTCTATGAGAGCTGAAATTAACCGTATGAATGAAGAAAATTTAAAGATAAAAGAAGAGATGAAGGACATGTACAAAAAACTACGTATATTAGAAGAAAGAATGGACTCGCATAGCAAGCTAAAAGGTATGGTGGATTTTGAAATTGATAAAATGTTAAACGAAACGACTAAGAAGAATCTAATAATATTTAATTTTCCATTCAAAACCTCGGAATATGTAGAAGAGTTGAAAAAATTTATAAAAGAAAACTTAGAACTTAATTGTGTAGAAATTGAGGGTCTTATTCAATTAGGAAATAGAAAAAATAATCAAGTATTTAAGGTTATAACTGAATCGGTGAAAGATAGAAACTTAATTCTTGGTAAATTCTGGACCACAAGATCGAAATTGATGGATGAAAAGAAAAAAATAATAATATCAACTGACTTATGTCCGAGATCTAGAATTAGGAAAAAGTTACTATTAAAACATATTAAACTGGAGAAATCAAATGACAAAAAGATAAAAATAAGAGATGATTATTTCTTAAAAGATAATACAATGTACACATACGATTTGAATACGAAAGAAATAATTCAGCTAAATCATTTTTTAGAGATAAATATAATGTAAGATTAGAAAAAATAAATCAAAATTTAAAAACAATGCAGGAAAAAATGAGAATGATTGAAAATATGAAGAAAAATAATAGAAAAATGAGTGATGATAATTTAATAGTCAAAGATAATGATTTGAATGAGGAAAAAGTAGAAATTTCAAAAAGAGAAAAAAATAATGTAACGATAAGTTTTTGGAATATTCAAGGATTAAGAGGAAAATTATTCAAAACCTCGATGAGAAAATTCCTGGACTCAAATGAAATAATTGGATTTTTAGAAACCTGGATTCTAAAATTTAGTGATATAGAAATAAAATATCTAGAACAAGATAATAGTGTAATAATTAGCAATGCTCAACGCAAAAATAGATTTGGTCGGCCGTCATGTGGAATTCTATTACTTATTAAGAAGAGATTAGGTGAAATATTTCTCCAATATACATCGCAATATATTATTGCTGTTATAATAAAATTAGAGAATAAAATTAAAAGAAGATGGTCTTGCACGTATTTGGGAATGGTAGCAATATATATGCCACCGTCTATTGAGAAAAAATCAATTTTAAATGAAGTGCAAAAAGTTCTGGATAGATGGTCTAGCCTAACACAATTATGGATAATAGGAGGTGATCTAAACGCACGTATTGGCGAAGCCACTGATACTGTATTTTTTCAGACGTTTGAAAATATAGCCAATAAGAGAATATCCAAAGACAAAGTTTTAAACACAGAAGGCAAAATACTTCTAGATTTTGTTCATAATAACCAATTAATAATTCTGAACGGTAGGATGATAGGAGATACCCCTGCAGAAATTACCTTTGTTTCCCCAAACGGGAAATCAATAGTGGACTATATTATTTGTTCAGAAGAAATGTTAAAGTGCTGTAACTCTATGAATGTTTTGGAGGATGACTGGGCAGATCATTTTCCTGTTCAGTTGGAATTAATAAAATATCAAAAAACAGGAAATAAATTACAAAATTGTGAACAAAGTCATCTTATTAATCTAGAACTAAGACCATCCTATAATAAACGAAAATTGGTAAAAGAGTTTGATAAAATGATTGGGGAGATGTTAAATTTGGAAAAAGAAAATGATCCAATAGAAAATTATTTGAATATGACAACTAAATTAGAAGAATACAAGTACAAGAATTGTATATGACAGAATGAAAAAATATTTAAATGCGAATGGTACAACAATACATGTTATAGTTACAAAATTAAAAAACAAAAGAGTTTACAAGTCTTCAGACGAACAAATACCAGCAAAGCACTAATGAATTACCTAAAATATAAGAAAATGTATAGTAATTTAATAAAAGCCAAAAAGAAATTATATTTTTCAAATATCAGTAAGAAATTATCAGAAGCGAAAGACTCGAGAGTTTTCTGGAGAATAATTAACAATTTTCGTAAAAGAAAGTCTGGTCTTGACATATAGGCTGGAGTAGGATATAATGATTGGCTGAAATACTACAATAAATTCTCAGAAAACTACAGAAAAAATTTTTGTCAAAAATACATGGAAACTAAGATAAGACCAGAAATTCATCGAGAAGAGATAATTAAGATGGAAGAACTTCAGTACTGTATTAACAAACTTAAAGATAAATCAACACCAGGAGCAGATACAATACCTAATTCACTTATAAAAATGCTGCCACTAGAAATCATTCGATATTTAACCAGACAATTCAATCAATTTCTACAGTTATAGTATAATACCGGACAAATGGAATGAAGTCATTTTTACCATGATATTTAAACAAGGGAACAAACAGGAACCAATCAATTACAGACCAATAGCTCTTCTGTCTTGTCTACGGAAAGTATTCACTGCAGTATTAGCTAATAAATTTAACCATTGGANGTTAAACGAAACGACTAAGAAGAATGTAATAATATTTAATTTTCCATTCAAAACCTCGGAATATATAGAAGAGTTGAAAAAATTTATAAAAGAAAACTTAGAACTTAATTGTGTAGAAATTGAGGGTCTTATTCAATTAGGAAATAGAAAAAATAAT